AGCCCTTTAAGAGGAATGTCTGTGCTTCCAATAGTCCTTTGTCTTTCTCAGTTTTACAGCCCCAAGTTATGGAGACTTCTCTTCCTGGCACTGGAACCTGGGCTGGGGGCCTGGTGTGGGGCTGGGGCCTTCACTCCCTACGGGTACCTGCACAGCCGAGATATCCCTGCTGATCTTCACCTGCCTCCCATGGGAATGGGAACGGCCCATTTAGGTGTTTGCCAGTCTCTGCGTGGCCTCTTTCACCCTTTGTTGTAGGAATTCTGTCCAGCTAGATTTCAGGTGGTTCTGACCAATGGTTGTTCTGTAGGTTGTTTGTAATTTTGATGTGGTTTGGGAGGATGTTAGTACCATGTGTACTTACACCATTATCTTTTTTTTTTTTTAGTATATTTTTTAGCCGAAACCGGTTTGGCTCAGTGGTAGAGCATCGGTCTGCGGACTGAAGGGTCCCAGATTCGATTCCGGTCAGGGGCATGTACCTGAGTTGCGGGCACATCCCCGGTGGGGGTGTGCAAGAGGCAGCTGGTCGATGTTTCTCTCTCATCGACGTTTCTAGCTCTCTCTATCTCTCCCTTTCTCTCTGTAAAAAATCAATAAAATATATATTTTTAAAAAATATATTTTTTAATTGATTTCAGAGAGAAAGGGAGAGGGAGAGGGAGATAGAAAATTCAATGATGAGAGAATATTTGACTGGCTGCCTCCTGCAGGCCCCACACAGGGAATCAAGCCCACAACCTGGGCATGTGCTCTGAGTGTTACCAAATCACCCACAGGGCAAAGATGGTGGAGCACCCCAATCTCCGCCACCTCCAGGTCAATCAGAGTCAAATGTCCCAAAGCACAACTGTGTAAGAGGGCTGGTTCTACCAGCTCCTGCATTTAAATACATTCAAGACTCAGGGATAATCAGCAGTGTGGCCAGCTTATTCCGGTTTGTCCAGGACTTTCCTGGTCTTAGCCCTGGAAGTCCCATGTTCCAGGGAACCCCCGAGGCTCCGGCAAACCAAGGTCACCAGTTAGAATTTCATGGTAAGCTTTTAAATTACTGCTGCCCCCAGAGGTGTTGTTAGACTGGGTCCGGGAGCAGCCACGGCGTGAGGAGGTTTAAAAGTTCCTCTGAATTCTAATGCTGCCAGGGTTGAGAACCACTGCAGCTTCTTGCCTGTCATTTCTCCTTCTAAAAATATTTATTTCTAAACCCAAACAAAGTCAATGATTCTCATGAAGTTGGACCCGTACCACACACCATATACAAAAATGGAGTCAACAGCCTAACTATAACCAAAACTATAAAAATCTTAGAAGAAAACATAGGGATAAATCTGTATGACCTTGAATTTGGCAATGGATTTTTAGATATGAAACTAAAAGCATAAACCACAACACTAAAAATAGGTAAATTAGACGTCAAAATTAAAGACTATCATGTATCAAAAGACATTAATTTTTTTAAGTTATTAATTTTATTTATTTATTTATTTATTTATTTTTTAATATATTTTATTGATTTTACACAGAGAGGAATTGAGAGGGACAGAGAGTTAGAAACATCGATGAGAGAGAATCATCGATCAGCTGCCTCTTGCACACCCCCTACTGGGGATGTGCCCACAACCAAGGTACATTCCCTTGACCGGGATCGAACCTGGGACCTTTCAGTCCACAGGCCGACGCTCTATCCACTGAGCCAAACCGGTCCCGGCTTAAGTTATTAATCTTAGAGAGAAAGGGAGAGAGAGAGAAACATTGATTTGTTGTTTCACTTATTTATGCTTTCATTGGTTGATTCTTGTATGTGCCCTGATTGGGGATTGAACCTGCAACCTGGATGTATCAGGACGACACTCTAACCAACTGTGCTACCCAGCCAAAAGACATTAAGAAAGTAAAAAGCAAATCTACAGAGAGAAAAGTATTTATAAATCATATATCTGATAAGAGTCTACTATCCAGAATATATAAAGAACTCTACGACTCAAAAGAAAAAAAAAACAAACATTAAAAGATGGGCAAAAGAGATGAATAGACATTTCTTTGAAAAAGATGCACAAATCACCAAAGCACACACAAAAAATGCCATTAGCCACCAGGGAAGTGCAAATCAAATCCACAAAGACATAACCCTTCATGTCCACTAGAATGGATATCATAATAATTTAAAAAGCTGGAAAATTACACCTGTTGGTGATGTGGAGAAATTGGAATCTTCACACATTGCTGGTGGAAATGTAACATGGTACAGCCACTATGGAAAACAGCTTGGTGGTTCCTCAGATAGATAAACATGAGCTATCGTCTGACTCAGCAATTCCACTCCTAGGTACATACCCCAAAGAATTGAAAGTAGATACTCAAATAAATGCCAATGTTCATAGCAGCACTACTCACAAAAACCAGACTGTGAAAACAAACCACAAGGTGAAAACAACCCAAATGTCTGCCAGCAGATGAATCGATAAACAAAATATGGTATATCCATGTAATGGAATATTACCCAGACATGAAAAGGATTGAAGAATCAATATGAACTTGAACATGGATGAACCTCAAAAACCTGTGAAGAGAAAGAATCCAGCTCAAAAGGTCACAATATTGAATGAGTCCATTTATATAGAATATCCAGAACACAGTAATTAATAGAGGTAGAAAGCAGAGGAATGGTTGCCAGGGGCTGGGAGAGGGCAGAATGGGGAGTGACTTCTTAACTTGTAGGGTGATGGAAAAGGTTAGGACTAAATAGAAGTGGTAGTTATACCACACTGTTAAAATAGTTGATTATATGGTATCTGGATTTCACCTCAATAGAAAAATTAATGGTTTACTCTTAACTACAAAGTACAATTGAGACTAAACTCTTTAGCGGTCAAAGTCCTTCACAGCTGATCTTTACTTGCTGTAGCCTTATCTTTCAGTCTACAGACCGACGCTCTACCACTGAGCCAAACCGGTTTCGGCTAGCCTTATCTTTTACCACTCCCATGATACTAACTGCCTATCCATGGAATTCCACTGAAATCCCAGCGTGCCAAATACTCTCTGCCTCGCCTTGAAAGCTCACCCATGTGGCATGGGAGGGCTCTATCAGCAGTTCCAGCCACAGTCCTCTCTTGATTCTTGTAGCTCTTCACTTTACACCCTTGCACTCGAAGCCTGGTCCTGGGACCAGGAGCACTGCTGTCTCCTGGGAGCTTATCAGAGGGGCAGAACCTGGTGCCCAACCCCAGACCCACTGAGGCATGATCCTCTGGTGATTAAGTCTGAGAAGCACAGGCTTATCCTAGTGGGCCTAAAATTAGGATGTAGATCAGCATCACTTTGTGAGCTGTATTTATTTATAATATACTAGAGGCCGGTGCATGGATTTGTGCACCAGTGGGGTCCCTCAGCCTGGCCTGTGCCCTCTCACAATCCGGGACCCCTCAGGAGATGTCGAACTGCCAGGGATGGGGCTGAAACCTGCAGCCCAACATCCCCTGAGAGATGTAGTAGTGTATGAAGTGGCAGGCAGCTGGGGAGAAGCCCAGACCGGGGCTGGGTGCTGAGCTGCTCCTGCTCATCTAGGACTCACTGCATCTGTTGCTGCTGCCACTGCTGGGAGGCTCACACTGCTGTAGCTGTGCTTGCCAGCTGTGATCCCAGCTTCTGGCTGAGCTTCTGCTGGAGGAGCACACTGACCACTAGGGAGCAGCTCTTGCATTGAGGGTCTGCCCCCTAGTGGCCAATGCATGTCATAGCTACTGGTCGACCAGTTAACTGGTTGAGCAGTTGCCGGTCGCTTAGGCTTTTATATATAGAGATATTTGACAAACTACATATATCTTAGCTAATAAAAGGGTAATATGTAAATTAACCATCATTCCATCACAAAGATGGTGGTGCCCAGTCCCCTCAGCCCTGCTGGAGTCCCCCAGGCCCTGGGGGGTGGAGGGGCTGCCGCTGAGAGTGGGAAGCATGAGTGGCCTGGCAGAATGCTTGCTTTGTCACCACAGTGACGAGGCAAGCATCCCGCCCCAGCTGCAGAGGGCCCTGCAGAAGCAGAGAACCATAGGGAGTGGGCCTAACCCATCAGGGGTCCCAGATTGGAGAGGGTGTGGGTTGGATTAAGGAATACCCCTTTCCCCCTCCCCCTGGTGCATTAATATTTAAAGCAATGAAAAAAGGAAGTCTCCCTCTTCCCTCAGTTGCTCAGATTTCTACCAGGATGCAATTTTTTGTTCAAGTTTCTTGGATATTCTCCCCTGCTCTATGCACATGCAAGCATACATGTATATATTGTTTTCCCTCCCTCATTTTGTGGTTACACAGATGCCAGCCCACTTACACACTGATTTGCACTTTTCACTCAACAGTATATTTTGAAGATCACTTAAGCACACATAGACTGCACAATATTGTTTTAATGGCTGCATAGGAGCCATCCTATAGTTGTATAGTTGTAGTATATGAGTAATTTCTTTCTAGTACAACTATTAAGGACATTATGTTGTTTATTACAAAGCTCCATTGCCTATCCTTTGTGAATATCTTTGAGCATATGATGTGTCAGTGCAGGAAAGATTTGCAGAAAGATAGGTACAGTTTAAACATTGTAAGAGATATTAAAGTCTCCTCTAAAAGGCAGAACCAATTTACATTCTTGGGGAGCCGTAAAGAACTTTTCACTTCAGCTCTCTATGGGTTGGGCATTTTATCTCTATGCATTTTATTTCTTTGGTGATTCTGATACTACAAGACTGTGGGAATCAGGGCAGATGGTCTTGAACCCTGTTCTGTGATTCCCCCTGAGCTGCCTCAGATTGCTCTTTATCATTTTATGTGACTGTTCAATCTCCTCACCAAGGTGACAATTTTCTAAGGACAGGCCTCAGGGATGTTGCTTCCTTATATTCTTCCTGATACAGCACTTTGTAAGATGATACTTGTTGATGATAAGGCTTCGAAGAATGTTAGGGGCTCATATAATTTTTTTTTTTTTTTTTTTTTTTTTTAGTTCCATGGACCAAACACAGAGAAGAATCCCTGACCAGCCCCTTTCTATGCCCACCACCCAGCCCAAGAAGAAAAGGACTCCAATGATGTCTTTCTTTTCCAAGGTTGGAAACAAAATATTGTGAACGAATGTCCCTTCCCAGCAGCCACTGTGTAATCTGTGTGCTGGCCTGGTCTGTATGAGTCCAGCTGGCTCCACTGAGCTTCCTTCTTCTGAAAAATGTCTGATGATACTTCTTTAAACACAGACAGAATGTTTATAGAATCACAAGATGAGTTGAGATGAGTTTAGCTTGCTGTGAAATCTCTATATATAAAGACCTAAGTGACTGTGACAACTGGTTGACCAAATGACCAGTCAACTGGTCACTGTGATGTGCACCGATCATCAGAGAGCAGACGCTCAACACTCCCATAGCCAACCTCCCACGGTCCTTACCCCTGGGATAAGTGCTGATTGGGACTGGGCAATTTGGCCCTGATGGCCCCAATCGCCAGCCAGGCCGATAGACTCCACCCACCCATGCACAAATCCGGGCACTGGGCCTCTAGTTAATAATAAAAATATAGACTGAAAAATGAATATTCAGACATAATGATGAGACATGGTAATCACCCAAACACCAAATAAGGATGTTGATCCCATGTCCAGCTCCCCACTCCAGTCCATTACTAAGGACAGTGAAGAGGTGGCTTTTTTTGGTCTCATCTGCATCTTGCATCGTCTTGGTTCTGACTCCAGGACGTGTTGCCATGTCCTGTGTTGTGCAGAACCCCAGGGCCTTCCTGGTCTCAGGGCTCATATGCTCACTGCAGAGATAACCCACCTCTTGACCCACAATCACGTCAAGTTTAGTCCTTGATGTACAGGTTTCTGCACTGGCCACAAAGCGTTGCCCAATTTCTCATTTCTCTGAATTTGTTTTCCTGATTGTAAATTGCTCAGATGCATGCATTCTGGGGTGGGACATCCTGCAGGTGCCCCGAAACGTTTGTAGATGTGCTTTTCTGTTACATCAAATGCTGTTGAGTTGAGTAACACGAGTACTGAGCATCGACCTTGAATTTAGCCATATTGGGGCCTGGGGAAGGGAGGCCATCAACCTGACTGCAGAAGGTTCAGGGCAGAATGGAGAGGAAGTGGAGAAAGCAAGTATAGGCATGTCTTTCAAGGTGTTTAGCTACAAAATAGAGCAGAAAAAAAAATGGCATAGGAGACAAAAGAGTCCAGGAAGCTCTTTTTTCTGAGATAGGAGGTATACAGAGAACCTAGTCCTACCAAAGGGCACCCTATTTTCGGCTCATGCCAACGCTTCCCCATCCCCTTTTCTTTTTAGTTCTATCAAACCCTCCACTGGCCTAGAGCACCTCTGTTCTCAATTCCCCCAAACCATCATCAATACCAGTTCTGCATTTAAAAAAATATATTTTATTTATTTCAGGGAGGAAAGGAGAGGTAGAAAGAGATATAAAAATCAATGATGAGAGAATGATAAATCAGTTGCCTCCTGCATGCCCCTTACTGGGAATCTAGCCTGTAACTGGGCATGTGCCCTGACCGGGAATCGAACCATGACCTCCTGGTTCATAGGTCAACACTCAATTACTGAGTCACACCAGATTATTTTTTTTACTCCCTTCTCCCCTGCCCCCATCAATTTCTTCATTATGTAGATCAAACTACATAAATATAGAGGGTGGGGCAAGAGTAGGTTTAGTATAGTTGTGAGTATACGAAACACAGAGTTCATTCTTGTATTGTTATTTATTAATTATTGTTATTCTTTTCATTACAAACAACTATAAACCTACTTTGCTCCCACCTGTGAGAGCAAAGTATTTCTAGCAAAAAAAGTCAGGTGTCTTTTCAGATAAAGAAAGAATGTGTAAAATTGAGCTGGCAACACAGGATTTTCTCTAGAAGAAGGGGTTGGGGTTGGGTATGACTCTGAACACTCCCAAATCAATACATTTTGACTCACTTCCCAGATCTCTTGGAAACTGAGGTTCCAGAAGAGGGAGCATTTGAAGAATGTGCTTTACATCTTGGCAGAAAGAGCCCGGGACCCCAGTGCTAAAAAGCGTCGCATGGCAGTGAGAGGCCTGGGAACCATGGCCCGTGAAAACCCCGACAAGGTAGGAAGGGAAGGTGGCCGGGAGTCCCCAGGACTGGGATATGGTTGCTCGTATACTAGTTACTATTGCTGTGTAACAGATCACCACAGGCCTAGCATTGATTAGCTTGCCATTTCCTTGGGTCAGGGTCCAGGTACAACTTAGCCGGGTCCTCTGTCCAGGGTCTTGCAAGGCTGCAATCAAGATGTGGGCCAGATTACATTTTTTCAGAAGCTGGGGATCCTCTTCCTAGCTTTTAGAGTCATTGGGAGAATTCAGTTCCTCCCAGTTGTAGGACAAAGGTCCCTGCTTCTTTGCTGGCTGTCAGATGGGGGCCACCCTTAGTTCCTAGAGGTGCCCACTCATACCAAGGTAGCTTACTTCTTCAAGGCCAGCAAAGTCTCTGCTAACAAGGAGTCTTATGTAATGTAAGTAACCATGGGAATGACATCCTATGAGTGTTGTCATCCTATAGAATAAAGAGCTAATATGCTAATTAGACTGGATGGTGGAACGACCTTCCAAAATGACCGGAATGACCAGAGGGCGGGGGATGGGCCCTCGAGGCAGCCAGGGCTGCAAGGGCCGAGTTCCTTGCAAGAATTTCATGCATCGGGCCTCTAGTATTCAATGATAGGCTAGAAGCAAGTTCCTGCCATACTCAGGGGAAGGACATATGCATATGGGGTCAGCACACCTCAGTATTCTCAGCCTTGGGAAGGAGGTGCAGGCAGGATTCGCACATTGCTGGACATCACTACTTAGTGAATTCAAATTATTTTCTAATAATTTGTTCTTGTTTAGCGTCTCTTCTTTTAGCATCTGTCAACGTCAGTGACCATTTCATCTTGTCCTCAGTATGCCTCAGAAACCTAGATTATCCAGTCCAACCCCCTTCTTGACACTCTCTGCCTACCCTCATCCACCCATGGGCCACACTCCAGATCACTGTGTTCTTCTTCTAAGACTGACTTGGGCTCTTGGGATGGGTGAATGGAAGCATTTTTTTTTTGAAACATTTTTATTTTATATCCTGAAGAAAACCATAATCTCCTAGTCAAGTCCTAGGTTGTTGGACAATAAGAAGTGGAGTTGCTTTTCAATGCACGAGGAGCAATTCCTAATTGCTACTCATGCTATTTAAACCTTGCTCACAGGTGAGAAAGTATAAGAAAATTGTCCTAGACCTGCTGGTGCGTGGATTGTATGATCCCATGAGTGCTGAAGTCATTCACGAGAGTCTGAAGACTCTGACCATCATCCTGGGCAAGATCCAAGGGAAAGGCTTGGGCTCCTTCTTCATAGACATCACTCTTCAGACCAGGATGCTACTAGATGACGTAAGTGATATGACACAGGAAAACCAAATTGGAGCTGAAAATGTGAGGTCTGGGTGTTGCTCAGGGAACAAGATCTCTAAATCAATAAGTAATGAAAAACAAAAAACAAAAACAAAAACAAAACACTGGGGAGCTGGGAGTAGTAGTAGTAGTGATCCCCAGTCCATCCTCTTTCTTGTCCGCTGGTGAAGAGGTACATTGAAGACTCAGGCCCTCGCCACCTCATCCCACCCCAGCCAGCGCTTACGGACTGGATCTGACGGCCCCCCTCTAACATGCTGTGATTTTCTCAGATGCGGTTGCCTTTCCCTACTGACCTGGTTTTTGTTGTTTTGCTCACGGGGAACCCGCAGGAGAATGACAGCCTGAGATACTCAGCCTTTGTCTTGTTTGGGCAATTGCCTGCCTTTGCTGGGTGGAAGTGGAAGAAGTTTTTCACCAATCAAGTTAGGCAGACCCGAGATTCTCTCCTGATCCATTTAAAGGACAGAAATCCCCAAGTGGCCAAGGTAAGTCCGTGACTCTCCAATTGACCACAAAAAATCTTCGTGCCTTTCCTCCAGGGAGTCCTGAGGCACCAGCCTCTCAGCTCCGGCCAGCTCAGTGACAAACACTGAGCAGCCCATCCACGTGAATCCTGGGAAAAGTGTCTCCTCTGCGTGTAACCTCTCTCTGATCGTTTTCTTTTCCCCGTGCTCCTTCCCCATTGGCCCCTCCCTGCACCCCACAATGCGAGATGAGTTCAGGGTAATGCAGGTGGGACAGAAAGGCTCAGGGTTAAGTCACGGGGCAGTCCACATTAGGAGACATTTATTCATGCCTGCTAGCTTTTGTCACTGCACCTCATATAGACGTCCTACCTCTGGCTTCTCAATGTGTCCCAATAGCATTGGATCAGCCCCAGGGAGGCTCTGGAGTGGGATAGGACGAGTGTGTCAAAACCACTGGGAGCAAAGGGTCCCACAAAACCACTTTGAGAGAGAGAGAGAATTTAGAAATCCAGTACCGCTTTTGATGGGACAATAACAAATGCTGTGGTAAACTACAAAGCTATGTCCTTCTCACCAGCCCCACATTATAGACATGGTTGTTTCATAAGCACAAATCCTTTAAGGTTCAAGGTTTCAAACTTCCTGGAAGTCACTTTCACAGTCTCAGGGGCCCCCAGACCCAACTGGGCACAATCTTCTCCCTCGGTTGGGATTATAGAATTCTCTAGTAAAGTATAGGATTGTCTCACCATGATGCTATAGACCTAAAACCAATACAGAATAACATTGCATGTACACTGGAATGGAAAAGGTAAAGAGGAATTCTCCAATATTTTTGGCAATGAGGTGGGAATCGTATCTTTCTCAGGCTTGCAAAGCCACATTCCGAGCCTGTTCTCCATATCTGAGGCAGAGGAAGGAGTATCTGAGGCAGAGGAAGGAGTGTAGCTTCCAGAGTGAGGCCGATCGGAGGAACCCCAAGCTCTGCCGGCAGCTGGTGAGTGAGTGCGGGCAGGAGAGAAGCCTCTCACAGGTCCCTGTGCGCTGGACCACACCAGGAGTTTGCCCCCCATCAGGGACTCCCATTCCGATTATAATTGACCCATCATGCAGTGTAAGTGACAAGATGCCTGGAAAAGTAGGCACAAGATACAGGTCCTTCGATGGACACAGGCCATGATGTCTCGAGAATGTGAAGGTCATTTTGTGCCCATAGTCTGCCCGGGATGACGGCCTACTCATCGTGTGTGTGTGTGTGTGTGTGTGTGTGTGTGTGTCAGTGGTGGGGTTGGTAACGCTCTCCCTCACGTACCTTTGCTGATTTCTTTCAGAGCTTCTACCATCCAGAGCTCCTGCAGTTCTTCTACGCAAATAAGATCCTGTAAATGCAGAGCCGAGGGGAAATGCTTCCTGTGAGCAGATTGCAGGAGGGCTGATGGCTCCCTCCCCTAACTCTTCAGATGCTCTGCCTGCCTCTGGCAATTGTGATAGAAAAGGGGGTATTGGGAGAGCAGCTGTGGCAAAAGGAATACTGGGGTACGGTATGATTATATCCGCAGCAAAGCTGAATGGTTTTCCCATGTCCGTTTCTCCCCATGCAAGTTTGATGAGCAGGCCCATACTTACTTTGATGCATTTAAAGTCTATGTTGATTCAGTGCTTATTTCTCAGCTTTTTCCTTAAGTTCAATGCTATCACATCATCTTTCCCCCCCCCCTTTTTTAAATAATATTTTTTATTGATTTCAGAGAGGAGGGAAGAGGGAGAGAGAGACAAAAACATTCATGATGAGAGAGAGTTGTTGTTCGGCTCCCTCCTGCATGCCCCACACTGGGGACTGAGCCTCAAGCTGGGCATGTGCCCTGACTGGGAATTGAGCTGTGAGCTCCTGGTTCATAGGTTGATGCTCAAATACTGAGCACATCATCTATTTTTAATTTTATTTCAATTTCTGAGGCTCAGAAGAATAATGATTTTTTACGTGTTTTTTTAAAAAATCTGCTATTGATACTTTGCTATTTGCTAATGACATCTTTTCTTGGTAAGACCTGCTTACAGCCGGTCAAGGCACCTTTAGCTTCTTATAGTCTCCAACAGCCATTGCCTTCAATGTCATTCCAAACAAGAATTAATAAAGGGAAAACAATCTATAAAGCATGTGTTGTAAAACCTCAGGCTTATGGTAAAATATGGAATACTAAGTAACAGTTATTGAGTATATTTATGCTAAATGCTGTGCGAGTAGTATTTAATACAACAGCACTATGAGAAAGGTACTGTGATTGTCCTCATTTTATAGATAGAAAAAGGCGTAGGGAAATCAAGTAACTTCCCCAAGATGACCCAGGAAACGATGGAGCCAGAACTCAAATGCATACCGCCTGACTTTTGGAGCCAACATTCCACTACCGTGCGGTACCACCTTACTAGCGAATAATTGATGGATCGGTAAAAATGTAAAAAAGAAAATAAAATTAAAAAGAAAAACTCCTCATCTCCTGCTCTTCTCTTTAACTCACTTAACTTTTGCTTTTTTATGTACTAAGAATACATTTTTATTAATTTAATTTGTGAGCTAAGCATATATTTTTTATTAATTATCTATTAACTATTATGTCAATTTTTGGCTGATTGATCCTAGTTCCATGAGAATTCACAGCACTTCTTACAAAAGGTTTCAAGAAAATTCTTAGTCCCTCCCACCTCCCCTCCAACCAGATTGCTCCCAGAGCTTCCCCTACAGAAATTCTGTTATTAACACTGAACTTGGCATTCAGGGCATACTCTGGACTATGTCCATTTTAAAATTGGAAACACAAGAGGGTCATAAATGCTACAGAGGGACCTTGACATCATCCTTAGAACCAGGAACTCAATTTTCTGCCCCAGCTCTCTGGAGACAGGACCGTGTAACACAGATGAGGGGTGAGGTGAGGCCTGTCCCAGGAGAGAGAAGGATGACAGAAGAGGTAGCAGGAGGCAAGTATGGATGGGTTTTCTTTCTTCTTATTTTTGCAGCTGGGGGCCCTCAGGTATAAATCTGGCTCTGCCACTTACCAGTGTGACTTTGGGTAAGTTAACCCATCAAGCCTCAGTTTGCTGATCTGTGAAATGGGCATAATAACCCATCTCATAGATTTGCTGTGCTACAATAATTCAATTAGATAACACTGAACTCTTGGCACAGTACTTGGCACATGGAAGGTGCTCAGGAAGTGTTAGTGTTGCTCCTGACCTCCAATAGGCTCTTTGGATATTGTCTCTTCTCTTCTTGTAGCTGCCCAAGTCTTCAGAGGTGTCCATTCTTGCAGTCTGGGGATTTGAGTATTATCTTGGTTCTCCCAAATGAATGATTGTAGCACGAAGGGCAGCCCTGCATCCTGCTCCTCAGCAGAACCCCAAGAGTGCAGCTCTGACCTTTACCCACCATGGATGTTTAACAAAGATTGGTTGACTTCATTGGATTGCACGTGAATGCTGGTGCCTTGACCAAGGGTGAATCTGCCACCTCCTGGATTTTGGAATGGCTCAATACATTTAAGAAAGTATGAGACCCATAACTGAAGGAGCATTGCAGGTTGTTCTTTCCCCTGGGCTTTTGTAGGGGGGTTGTTAATCCTCTCCCTGTTTTCCATTGGTTTTTGGAGATTGTGGAAAGGAGTGGGAGAGATAGACAGAGAAACACTGATGTGAGAGAGACACATTGATTGGTTGCCTCTCGCATGAGCCCATGAGCCCCGACCAGGGCCAGGGCTGGAGTTTGCAACCGAGGTGCATGTCCTTGACCGGAATTGAACCTGGGACTCTTCAGGCCACAGGCTGACACTCTGTCCACTGAGCCAAACCAGCTAGGGCAGGAGCAGTGCCTTTTATGCTCCCAAGATGGCTCAGGAACTCTGTTCTGTCCTCACAGTCCCAACAGCTCTGCTAACAATTCTGTGCTCTATCTTTTGGGTGATCTTTTGTTAATAATTAACGTCCCACCTTCTGTTTTCAAGTGTGACTGCTATAATCATGTTCCTTTCAAGCTAATGAATTCCTGCAGCAATGTGCAAACGTTAACCCGGTAATGGGCCCAGTGTCCCTCTGCAAGAAGACATGCTTCTGAGAAATGTAGATCAGACAGTTAACATGAGACTTCCAAAGTCACACTGCTAGAGGCACATGCCTCTGCCCTAACAAAAATGCAGTCCCAAATTCAGAGCTTTTCAACATCATGCATTGACTGCATCAGCAGATGCAGCCACAGAGGGGAGAGGCCCAGTTCCCAACTGTGACATCATGTATGCTGGAAGGACACATGATTTGGTGTAGAAAACCGGGCTCTGCGCCCTGGCCTTGTCTCTTAACTTGCTGATTATCTTCAGCAATTCCCTTACCTCTCACAGCCTCAGTTTTTCCATCCAAACCCATTACACAATATATGCTGATTATCAAGTGAGACAGACTGTGGAAACTGTAAAAGGTTACCCCAAGAAATGGGGTATTCTTACTTGCATGATAGCTACTCATTACTGGAGCCTGTTTGTGCAGGGAAAGGGTGAAAAGAATGAAATGCAGTATTGACACAGACCCCAATTTAAAAGCTACAATCCCTCTGCAAGAACCTTAGAAAGATAAAGATAGCAGAATCAGGGATAATGCATTGGTTTTTGCCGGGATGCTTCTCTAAATAACACATGACCCTGTGACAAAGCGAATGAGGATCCAGTTTACAAGTTGAACATGCATCTATGCCGTACAACTTAGTTACAACCCAAACTTTTCCAATATGCTAGGAAGAGTAACCTTCAGGATTTGTGGAAGGTCTGGCACCCTTCCTTCGGATTGTTCTAATATCGGGATCAAATTTAACTGAACTATTTACCTCTTTGTAGGGAAAAGTTAGTGTTTCCTCGTGTTTGGCTTTACACCTGCTAGAATGACAGCGTGTTTGCTGGACCCTTAGGAGCCCGCCAAGAGTGAACCGGGAACCTGCACATGTGCCGAATCTGCGGCTCAATGAATTTCAAAGCTAGTGAGCTCATTCCACCACGTCCGCAAACAGATGCGATCTCCTACTCAAAAATTCAGAGCTTTTCAACATCATGCATTGACTGCATCAGCAGATGCAGCCACAGAGGGGAGAGGCCCAGTTCCCAACTGTGACATCACGTATGCTGGAAGGACACACGATTTGGTGTAGAAAACCAGGCTCTGCACCCTGGCCTTATCTCTTAACTTGCTGGTTATCTTCAGCAATTCCCTTACCTCTCACAGCCTCAGTTTTTCCATCTGCAGAATGGGAGGGAAACCCACTACACAATATATGCTGATTATGACTTAAGGGAACAAACACAATTTCTTGCATGAAACATGGTTTACTTGTTTAAATGGCTAACCGACACTATGTGTGTTGCTTCTCATTATCAGTAACCAAAGAAAGGATTTTATTATGAAGATAATGGAACATGCACAATCAAATCTGTTTAATCTGCAAAGACCATTGGCCTGCCCAACTCTGTGTTCGTACCTGGACCTAACTACATATTGATTATCCTCCTTGCTCTCACCTTTTCCAAGGAAAGGAATGGCTGGCCCAGCATGTTGGCTTTTAAATAAAGACAATTTAAACGTACATGTCAATAAATGAAGTGTGCCTGGCCAGGGCAGCTGTAGTCCTGGCGTGAGGTGGCCCTCTTCAGCTGGGAGAGCAAGGGGAGGCTTGCAAGGTCAATTACTTTGTCCCTCTGCCCCTGGGGAAATGGCAACTACGTCATTCTGGTAACCGGGACGCTGGACCAGGCTGGGGCATTAGCCCCTGGCAACAGCTCTGTGACCTTGAAGGAGTCATTGGGCCTCGTTTCGTTGATTGTAGAGCCAGGCAGGTGCACACACCGAACCCCTCTGCTTCTGCACCCTTCACAAGTTTAACCCCTGGGTGGGGATCCCCTCCAGGCAGAGTGACCAACCACCCCAGTTTGCTTGGGACTAAGGGGTTTCCTGGGTCACAGGACTTTCAGGGTTAACCCGGGACAGCCTGGGTAAACCAAGTGGCTGGTCACCTGGCCGCCAGGAACCAAGATTAGACCAGAAACCAGGAAGCTTCCGAAGGGCTCGAGGGGGAAACACGGGCCGAGACCACCCCCTTTGTCGTCCTTCATCAGTAGCTGCCCCTGGAAGGATTGAGGGGCCCAGGAGTGGGAGGAGGTGGACAGGTGGGGAGAGGGGGTGGGAAGGCTCTCACCAGGATGCTGAGATCTGTCGAGGTTCCCACAGCCTCCCACGCACCCGTGTGAGATCACTAGACCCTGATGTGTGCTCCTGTAACTTCTAGAATCTAAACTACTGTAGGGAAGTGTGTCAATGGTCTTTATTACTGTAAAAAAAAAAAAAAAAAAAAAAA